GCTAAAATTTTCTAGTTCATCCTAAGTGAGCTTCCACTTCCAAGTAGAAGTTTTACTGTCCCCGGTACCTTCTATTCTCATCTGCTAGGTGTTTTAGCTTATTACATTTCCTGTATGCATCACCTATTGAAAAAAACTGTGTCTTCTCTATGAAAATATTTAAATTACTTTAAAAGTATTTCCCTTTCATCTTTGAATATTTTTTAAAATTGTTATTTCTTATATTTGTGCCTTCACCTTCTGCCTATCTCACTGGAGTGCTATTCCTTGATCCTCTTGCTTAGAAGATCCATTTTAATTCGTTTCTTCATGAAGTGATCTGTGTTGTTATCAGATAAAAATAACAATTCAAACCAGCATCACTAGCCAGCATGTAATCCAAACATTGTATCTATTTCTAGTGTTTACCCATTTCTGAATTTTAAAAATGTATTAATGTATTTGTATTTCCTTTTGCTCACATTTCTTTTAGAATGAAATATCTCATAAAGAGGAGCTATCCCCAAGTCGTCCCTGGTGTGGTTTACAGTAACTCTTTTGAATCTGTAATGTGCAATTTGCTTGGCACATACTTGTGACATAAAAGAATAATTGAATAAATGTGGTTTAATGTTCATATGGGGGCATACTTCCTTGAACAATTACTAAGAACTACTTTCTGATATTTATGTTACCAAAATTATTAATTGTTATATCTCTTCCAACTGACAATTGTTTTTGCTTACCATTGAAATTTATAATTCTTAAAAATCATAAAAGAAAGTGTAACTCTAAAAAACACTGTTCTTAGGTTCAGTATTCATATAAAAAACTAATTAATAAAACAAATAAATAAAAGACTGCTTGTTATACCTTTGTTTTAAACACAATTTTCTGGTTGTTTCTGGGCAGGGTTAACTGAAGCACCAAAAATATCATTTTGTTAACCTGCTTCTTCCACCTAGTGGCAAAAAGCAGTAAGAAACAATGTCTTTCAAAAAACACAATGAACAAATAGTTCTACATGCCATTTTAGGAAACACTGATAGGGATCATTCAGCATCTAACGTTTAAATTATGAATACACAACAATTTTAGCAGATTGACAGTGTTCTGATAATGGCACCTGTCAAAGTTGCTTAAAATCATATAAATACTTCCATGTTTTCACAAAGACTGTAGATCAAGATGTAAAGTATTATATCACTTCTCATTAAATTAGAATAGATTTGTTTATGAATATACAGTCAACATTGTGGAACAAGGTGTTGGCTAACTTTAGAATTCCATGATTTCCTTTGCTATGAGTTCCATGCTATTGTAAATTTTAAAACAGCCAGTATGAACCCCTAAAACTGAACAGTCTCATTGGTCTTGCCTCTCAATAAGTCTTTGTACTAATAGTCAGTAAAATACTTGACGACCTGAGACAAGGAGTCACTGGGCAAGAGATGCAAAGGTCAAAGGAGGCAGAATTGGCTGTTGTGTAGTTAGAGCTATGACAGAGACATTAATGAAACATAATTTACAATGTGAATAGCAGAATTTTATACTCTCGTTGCCACCAGCTGATCCCTAGCATATGAGATTTGACTACCCTTCTAACACATTTCCATTTGCTCCAATGTAAGTGTGATTAAGGTTGCAGAAGTTTAACTTAGCTTATGCAGAAACAGTAAGAACATTCTCCAAGATGGCAAACTTAATCCTTTCTCCCATTTCAGTAAAACAGTCAAAAATGTGTAATGATATTATAAGTTAAGAGCTTTCACCATTTTAAAATATGTTGATTATATAACAAAATATAAGTATCCGTGACTAAAGTGATTATTTCTCAGTATTTTTATTAAAAGAATAACAATTTCTTTCTTTTTTCCCTTTTTTAATTTAAATCAGAAACAAGCTTGTTTTATGTGTCAATCCCAGTTCCCTCTCCCTCCCCTCTTCCCCTGCACCTCACCAACCCCCTATCCCATCCTCTTTCTGCTCATCAGGGAGGTTGAGGCCTTCCATTGGGAAATCTTCAAAGTCTGGCATATTATTTGGATCAGGGCCTAGACCCTCCCCTGTGTCTAGATTGAGAGACTATCCTCTATGTGGCGTGGGTTCCCAAAGTCCATACTAGGGATAAATACTGATCTACTACCGGAGGCCCCATAGATTAACCAGACCTCCAAACTAGCATTCAGGGGGGTCTGGAACAATCCCATTCTGATTTCCCAGATATCAGTCTGGGGTCCATGAGCTCCCCTTTCTGGGATTCTCCAGCCTGGTCTTGACCCTTTTGCTTATTACTCTTCCCTCTCTTCAGATTCCGGCTATTACAAATAATGCTGCTATGAACATCGTTGAACAGATGTCCTTGTTGTATGAATGTGCATCTTGATTTCTTAATTTTCAAGAAGAGAAAGATAAAGAATGTGCCTAGCACTTTAAACCCCAAAGTAAATGTGAGTTTAGTAAAACTGTGTTGGTTCCCCCAACATCAAAAGGAGAAAGCTAAAGTTTTTCTGCTATGTATATGGTAGTGGGAGGCAAAGGGAAATGGGCGGTGATGTAATGGAGAGGGTGAGGCAAAGAAAATGTTGGCAAATTATCCTAGAACAGATTGGCAGTCAGTGATTACAATGTCCCAGTTTTCCTGTGACCTGTTTCTCCAGAGTGCCAAGGAAAGATGGGCAATGAGCTAAAAGGTTGTTGAAGCCATTGCCATGGCTTAAATGTTCCACTACAAGGGTCATAAGGCAAGCTTTATTAAATCATAAACAATATGTCACCACAATAGTCCATAGATTGAGATATCTGTTGTTTCCACTTTTATTTATTTCTAAGGATTTTCATTTCCCTCCTGATTTCTAAGGTATCTGTCATCAATCACTAGTATGTTACTTTGTCTCTGTAATATGTGCATTTTTTGGTAATTTTCCTTATTTTGATTACCATTTTTCTATTTTAATTATATGATATAGTAGGAAATTACCAATACGGAATCAGGTAGAAATATAAGGGTACTTAATAGGGAAAAGCCTTACTTACAGAGCGACCTAGCCAGCCAGCAAGGCAGCAGTCTGTCTGCAAGCCCAAAAGAGAAACTGAAAGCGAAAACGCAGTCACCCTTCGTCCCCTGACCACGCCCTTGCAAGCTTGTGAGGGCGTGGTCAGGCACACCTGTAGCCAGCCCCTAAGTAGGCGTGGCTACAGCTTCCCCTACAATTCCCCTTTTAGTCTAAAAGAGGATTAAAACTTAACAGTTTAAAGTATCCAAAATTAACAATCATAAAGGTAAAAATATAAGAAGATACAACAATCTGCTTATGTCATATCCTATCTATTTTAACTAAACCCTAAAGTCATCTGAAAGAGGTGGCCAAGCCTGAACACCTCCTTCCAATCCCAACCATAAACAATAGGAAGCTATCCCTAACTAGGTATATACATTATCCTAAGTGACAACAATGGGGAAAGGGGGCGTAGCATCCTCCTACTTAGGGCTGGCTACAGCTTCCCCTACAATATGAACTATGTTCATTTTCTTGCATTTGTTGAGACTTGCCTTGTGTACTAAAATGTTGTCAATTTGAGAGAAAGTTCCATGAGATTCTGCATTCTGAACTGTTTGGCTGGTCTATAAATGTTAAGTCCATTTTATCTATAATGACATATAACTCTGATGTTTGTTGACCTTTTGCCTCAAAAACATATTTGTGAGAATGGGGTGTTGAGGTTACTCAGTGCTTTTGTATTGAGGTCAATCTGTCCCCTTTACATCAGTGGTGTTTTTTTTATATATATAATTGATGTTCTAAGCATATATAATTTTGGTATTTTCTTGATGGTTGTTCTATTAGTCAATGTGAAATACTTTTTCATCTCTTCTAATTTGGATTTAAAGTCTACTTTGTCAAGTATCAGTATAGCCATACATGTGTGCTTTCTAGTTCTACTTGCTCTTAAAATGTCTTTTTCCATCCCTTTCAGCCTTAGGCTATTTGTCATTGCCAGTGACATGTGTTTCATGTAGCCAAGAAAATAGGACTAATTTGAGTTGATCAGATGGCCTGCTGTCCTTTTATTAGAGTTGAAACCCTAAACCTTCAGAGTTATCCTTGAAATATATGTATTTACTCCTGTCATATTGTTGTCTTTGTAATGATTGGTACTTTCCTAATCCTCACTTGCTCATCTAGTGTTTGAGTGCAATTTATATTTCCCTTTGACCTCATGGATATGTTTACCTTTTTCACCTGTGGCTTTGTAATCATTAATTCATTTATTTTGTGTTTATCATGGAACCTTTTTCTTTCTTCTTTAATTAGGAAGGATAAATTCATAGATTATAGTACTCAGGGTCGGTGTTTATTGTCTTTCAGAGTTTGAAATAGATGACCTCTTGGCTTTTTTTTTTTCATTTTTTATTTGAATTAGAAACAAGATTGTTTTACATGCCAGTCTCAGTTCCCTCTTCCTCCCCTCCTCCCCTGCCACCCCCAGCTAAAACCCTACCTATCATATACCCTTTCTGCTCCCCAGGGAGGGTGAGGCCTTCCATGGGGGGGTCTTCAGAGTCGTCATATCCTTTTGGATAGGGCCAGGGAGTATCCCTCTATTTGGAATGGGCTCCCAAAGTCCACACCTATGCTAGGGATAAGTACTGATCTACTACAGGAGGACCCATAGATTTCCAAGGTCTCCTCACTGACACCCACGTTCATAGGGTCTGGATCAGTCCCTTGCTGGTTTCCCAGCTATCAGTCTGGAGATCAAGAGTTCCCCCCTGTTCAGGTCAGCTGTTTCTGTGGGTTTCACCAGTGTGGTCTTGACCCCTTGCTCATCAGTCCTCCTTCTCTGCAACTGGATTTCAGTTCAGTTCAAGTTTTAACAGTGGGTGTCAGCTTCTACTTCCACCAACTGCGGGATGAAGGCTACAGGATGGCATATAAGTTAGTCATCAGTCTCATCGTCAGGGGAGGGCATTTAAGATAGCCTTTCCTCTGTTGCTTAGATTATTAGTTGGTGTCATCTTTGTAGCTCTCCAGACATTTCCCTAGTGCCTGACTTCTCTTTAAACCTATAATGTCTCCCTCTATTATGGTATCTCTTATCTTGCTCTCTTCTGTTCTTCCCCAAACTCAAGCTTTTTTTGAGAAATGTATACTGTTACTCTGTTGGGACTTCCCTTATATGTGATTTGGTGTTTCTCTCTCCCTTGCAGCTTTCATGTTTTAATTATATGTCATGGAGAAGTTCTTTTCTGATCATGATTATATCTATGCTTCCTGAACCTAATTGTCATTTCCCTGGATTGGAGGTTTTTTCTGCTATGATTTTATTAAACATACTTTCTGTGACTTTACTTAATACTTTTTCTTCTTCTGTATTCATGATTCCTAAATTTGATCTTCTAATGATGTTCCATGAGTCTTTTATGTTCTAAACATTCTTTATCATTATTTTGTCTATATTGCTGTCTGAATGTTCTAATTTATCTATGTCTTAAAAGTTCTGATATTTTGTTTTCCATTTGATCCATTCTATTGCTGAAGTTTCCACTGAAGTTTTTTATTTATGGAGATTTTCATTTCTAAAATTTCTCTTTGATTGTTTTCAGCACTTTCATCTCTTTGTTGAATTCCTTTTCCATATTCTGTATTGACTAATTTATTCAGATGTTTGTATTCTCTTTGAAATAATTCAGGACTTTGTGATTTCATTGAAGAATTTCATGTGATTTACTTCCACCACAACCTATAATTACTATGGAATTGGTAGTAGTTGAAGACATGTTGGCTTGTGTTTTTATCTCTCTCATATTTCTGCGTTGGGACTTATGCATTTAGAATGGGATATTGGTTGATTTTTTAAAAAAAATCAGTGGTATTCTTTCAGTTGAAGCCGTTGCAATACTGAGTCATATGAAGTTGAAGCTTTGTTGCTTCCCACTTAGCTGGGGTGCAGTTCAGTAAATATACCTTAAGCCTACAAGTTCAGGACACCTGGCTCTATTTCTAGCACTACTCCAAGATCAGAATACTAACTGAAAATACAACCACAACTGATGGGTTATGAAAATATAGTTTTGGTAAATTTCCTCCTCAACTCTAATAATTCTGGAGTAATAGAGGAACAGGGATATATAGTTTGTAATAAGGTATTAGTTACTACAGGCAATAATGAAATAAAAATAAAAGAGTAAGACTAGTGGTTAGTATTAAGAACAGTAGATTAAAAATAGAGGAGGGAAAAGTAAATTGAAGGAGGAAACAATAAAGGTGAATGAGGGATTAAGTCACTTGTAGCTATAGGTAGATTGGGGGGCAGTAAAGAAATGCATCCAGATGGTCTAAAACAACCCCAGCATTCTAGAGGCTGAAGTAGGCAGACCCCCACCCACACTCCAGCCCAAGGCCATACATGCTCTTTTGTAAAAGTCTTTAAAAGAAGAAGAGGAGGAAGGGAAAGAGGAGGAAGAGAAGATAACAGGATAAGACAAAGCCATAGCTGTTCTCCAAATACCTACCTTCATCCTTAGAGATCATAGCAGTCAGTGCTTAAGGGCCATCTGCCACCTTTTATATACTCTTTTCTTGCCTTCTGAAGTGAAATTATTTTGAATTATTCTGAAATTATTGGAAAATTTACTCCAATTTAGCCAACACATTCTATTGCTATGTCTAAAATAAGACAATTATTGCATCAATTTTATTATAAACACAGGATAACATGAAAAAGGTCAGCAGAATCTTCTTAAAACAAAAATCATTGAGGGAGGGCCTAGGTGAGGCCCAGAGTAATGTGGTGGGATGTGGGGAGCACCACCCCACCCCCATGGAGGGCCCTACCCTCCCTGGGGAGCAGAGGGGGGAGGGGTGGGGGGCTGGAAGGGTTGAAGGGGAGGGAAGGGAGAGGGAGAAGGGATTGACATGTGAAGCAATCTTGTTCCTAATTTGAGCTAATAAAAAAATAAAAATAAAAATAAAAAATGAAAATCATCATTCTTAATGAATACTGCTTCCCCATTGGATTCAAAAATTACATAAATGAGTCACATACCTTTTTCAAAAGGATATCCTTCAAGGCCTCTGCAGTACACTATAATAACAGCTAGGATTGCCATCATTTTTAAAGATTTTTGTTTATCTATCTCTTATCGCAGAATGGTACTAAGTTTCACTAATTATCCAAAGTTTATGATTAATAATACTTATTGTCTTTGGATGTATTTATTTATCGATAGCATGAGAGACATATGTGGTAAATATAAGTCAGAGCAGCATGATAAGACCAATATCACAAAGCCTAACTCAGAAGGTAATTTATAATATATATTATATTAAATCAATTTATTATATATATATATTATTCTTTTTTTGGCTTTTTCTAGACAGGGTTTCTCTGTGTAGCTTTGTAGATCAGGCTGGCCTTGAACTCACAGAGATCTGCCTGCCTATGCCTCCTGAGTGCTGGGATTAAATGTGTGTACCACCACCAGCCAGCAATATTATTCTTTTAAGATTCATTATTCTCTAAGAATAATAAGAACATCATTAATAAAGAGGAAATACTTATCTATATAATTGCAAAAGTTTAAAAAACATTTTCAGTATAACAAGCCTCTGGTCATTAGTATTTAATAGTTAAAAATTATACATTAAAATTGTGGAAATATATTAATTAAATTATTTATATTTATTCAAAATTATTTGCAAGACTTTCTGGTTGTTTATCTTATCTGTATGGAGAGAGGTAACTCAGGCATAATTTATGTTGCCTAGAAGCTTATCATGTAATTGGCAGATGAGTGACTAGATAAGATGAAGTTCAAAATTCTGAAGTACAGCAAGAAAGACATGCATACAGCAAATTTTGCTAAACTTTTGGAAAGAGGTATTTTACTGGCAGTAGAACATCAAATGTTGAATAGAATGAAGTCATATTCTAAGGGAATGGCTTTCATTATTTCACTCTATTGTGTTTGAGCCAACTGCTTTACTGGGACTTCAATTTACATTTTTCTACATTGTGAGAGGAAACTGAAAAAATATATTTTCCCTTCTCACTATTCATAACATAGCTAAACTATGTGCATAGTTCTGGATGTTTTACCTTCTATGCTGTAGAAGAAAATGGGAAAGCTCCCTAGTTCCCAAAATTCAATCTCTCTGTCTCATTGTGTGTGTGTGTGTGTGTGTGTGTGTGTGTGTGTGTGATTGATTGAGTGGTAAAGAAACTTAATGATGCTTCATATGAGGAGAAGAAATGATCTCTGAATACAAGCTTACATTCATCAAGAGAAACTAATGTTCACCAAAACAACTCATATAAATGTGATTGGTTGTTTTATGTTCTAAGCTATAGGAAAATTCATCATTTACTAAACTGAGAAAAGTTGGAGCAGATAAGGTATAGGAGCCAAGTGTTTGGTTTTGGACATGTAAATATATATTGCTTATTTGATAATTTAATGGCAATTGAAAGGTTTGATGTTCTGGCACAGATGGGGAAGATTAAAATACATAATTGGGAATGTATTTTTAATCACCATATTGTTTGAGGTAACCAAATCAGTTCAAATATAGAAAGTAAAAGTCTGAGGATTGAATCTTAAGGAATCCCTTTTTTGTTGTTGTTTTCAATATTTTTTTTATTTTAGAGGCACTCATATTTGCATATCCATCCCCCAATTCCCTTTCTTAAAGCATAATGAGAGAATGAACTAACCAAGAATTAGGGCTGAGAGAACTACAAACCAGAAACACAGGAGGGAATATCTATAGCACTATGGTGCCACAAGTCCAATGCAAATGGAACTAAGAAACTATGGTCTACAGCTCCTAAAGAAGTCTTTCCTTCTTTTAAGTTGACTATCTCATATATTTTGTCATAGTAACAGGAAGCTGAGAAATACAAGACAATGGCAATATATTTTCTTCCTTCATGTGTGGATAACCTAGGAAAGAAACCAGTCAAAGCATCTTATAAATTAGATTGTGACAAATCTTTTGGCAAACTAATATTTACTACAGAAAAGCCATTCCTATCAGTTTCTTTCAACAGGATGTATGTAGTTGGTTTAAGACTGTTTATGATGAAAAGGGTTAATAGTTACTTTTGAGACATTGATCTTTAAAAATTAGTACACATGCACTGTGATTCTTTGAATATAAAAATGAACCTGAGGGGAGTGAAATTTCTCAGTGGTTAAAATCATAAGTCTGATGAACTGTGTTCAGTCTACAGAACTCACATAAAAAGATAGATGTGGCAATACACAACTATAATCTCAGCATTCCTATGTGGACATGGGAGGTGGAGACAGAAAAAACTGTCTGGAAGTTCATAGTCCATCTACTCTAATCTCCATATTTGCCATGGCATATGTGCATAATAGCCCAGACACACACACACACACACACACACACACACACACACACACACACACAGTAAATAAATAAATAAATATTAGACATACGTACTGAGTAAAATACCCCTTCAGTGCTAAATCACTGTCTTCATGAAGGATAATGGCTAAACTGACTATTTCATTTTAACTGGTTATAATAAGTCAGAAATTTTAGAATTTCATGAGTCATTGGGTAATAAGGCAACAATAGATCATTGCTCTAATTAAGGAAATGGCAGAGGGAGGTTTGATTCCCATTAACTTTCTTTTTAATCACTCTTCGAGTTACCACATAATCTAGGTAGTTACTGAAAATACACAACATACTGCTAAGGATCAAATGAGGTGGCTTCCTCTGATTGCCTCAAGTGTACCTACTATGACAAAGACTACGGAAAGTAAAAGAAGGCAAAGAGGAGCCTAATGCTTCTTTGCATGGGGTAGTGCCTTCTTTCAACCTCCTCCTCAGAGTCCAGGCACAGTTCATGGATACATGGTATAAAATCTGTGTAATTTCACGGTTACCACAGCAATGTGTAAATTTCCTGGCATGTTTGCTATGGTCTAGAGAGTGAGTCTCTTGGCCAAAATAACCCTCAAGAGCAATTTAGTGCAGCATATTGACACTATCAAGCTAATTAAGTCATTAGAAGAGTTGTTAAGGTCAAGAGGAGTAAAGGATTCAAATAACCAGCTAGGATCCACATCCATCTCAATATAAGAAATTCTGAAACAACTTAAGGTATTCTCCAAACTGTGAGAAATTAGTCATTCCCTCCCAGAAGCCTTGAAGCAAGTATGAAGCTCAGAGCTAACAGTGCTATTAGAGTTTTGGCAAAATCTTATTACTTCTAAAAGAGCAATGTTGTGCTTTATCACGAGGGCATGTTTTAAATGTTATTTTAAGTCCTTGAGAGATAAAAGCATTGAAAGATTTACAAAGATGTTGGTATAGAAAGCCACAACATGACATCATGATCCAGTTGCTCATTTGGCACTAGAATACCTGTTCCTAGAGCATATGCAGATTGGAGGGCTGAGGGAGCAATCAAGTGGGTTTACCCAGAAAAGCTCTCCTTGGTTTGGGATTCGAAAACTAAATACTAAATAGTTGCTCTTTGTAGTCTGCTGAAAGATACCTAACAGCATGTTACAGGGAGTTGGAAAAACTGTCTCTACCATCACACCAAATGATTCTGAGAAATATGGCTTCTACCCTTGAATAATGTCAGAGGCATTAAGTAGGGACAGCAAAGTGAAGCCCTCTGACAAAGAGGAATGCTACGCACATTAGTACAGAAAGGTGCAGCATTGGGGTAGAGAATACTGCCTACAAAAGTTGACTACATCATAGCTCCTCCATTTATAATTCAGGGAACATTTCAGAAGAGCAGACAGAAAAACTGTGAGAGCCAGAATACTAGGAAGGCTGCTACAAAAGTCTCACTTAGAAATAGCTGCATAAATAAGACCAGAACAATGCAATAACAATAGACATGCTAATGTGGAACAGAGAAAATTTCACAGGGAACCACCTAGTAAAAACTACAGACAACTAATGATCTCTGAGAGAATGGGAACTAGACTTTCCCAGGGATAAGACCTTTATTGGATTATTGTAAATAATCCAATACTAAGTGGTTAACCCTGAAGCCATATACACACAAACAACAAAAATGGACTCAGCAGGTTATTATTACAATAATCAAAGTGTGTGTGTGTGTGTGTGTGTGTGTGTGTGTGTGTGTGTGTACTGATATAAAACCTCCACAGAGGCATGTTGTCAGATGCCCTGGAGTTGGAGTTAAAAGAGGTTGTGAACTGCCCAGTATGGGAACTAAGAACTAAACCTGGTTGTTCTGCAAGAGCAGCAAATAACTTAACCACTGAACCATCTCTCCAGGCTGTCCCCACACTTAAAAACTAATGTGTGTTCTGAGGATTGAATTTAGATCAGCAGGCTTGTACAGCAAATGCTTTACTTATGGGAAAAACTCCCTGGTTTATCAGCTTTTAATTTTGATGAAGTCCAATTTATCCTGTTTAGTGATTTTTGTGGACTGTTTTGGGAAAAAATGTCCATCCTGATCTATAAAGATTTTATGTTTTTTTTTTTTATCTCAACAGTCACATTCACATTAATTCTGGAATTTGATGTTTAATCAGTTGGCAAAGTTTGTTTTCCCCATGCTTTCCCATATATGACATTTCTTAATT